ATATAGTGTGAGATGTGTGCACAAATCCATTCTTCTGAGAGCACACTTGCACACACACATTCACATGCGTGCGTGCTCACATGCTCATACACTTACACACAGTTGTTCACACATTCACAAACACACACTCACATTCACATGCTCTCACACTCATACACACTCACCTGTACATACTCACACACCTACACACCCTCAACCACACACACACACACACACACACGCTACTTCTACCTCTCATTAACCTGATCCTCTTTTGTCTCTCTCCCCACCGCTCAACAAACTGTTCATGTCCATGCTTTTGTTCAACACATCTGACATGTTGTATATTTAGCTGTTGGATATTGTCTAGTGGCATTCAATAAGCACATGGTCTGACCACCCCTCCTGTAAGCAGGTTAAAATGCTTACAACGCGTACACCCACGTGATCAGACAGTGTTCGTGTCCACACTTTAGTTCGTAGAATTAACGAGGGGCGTAATTAAGTACTTTCCATGTAAATACCTAGTGTGCTCGCTCTGGGAAGGGAAAGCAATACACAGACACATTTTTTTAAATAATGGATCATTATTTGGTTCTTTCTCCTGTGGGCATTCAATGACTTGCTGTAGAGCACAAATAAAAGCCCAGTAGTATGTGGAAGTCCTATGCAAAGCTGGAAACAGGTGCAAGGGTCAGAGTCTGTGGGAAGGCTGATTTGGAAGCCAATGGGAGGGACTCGAAAGGGTATCCCGGCCACGCTGTCACTGTTTCGCCAAGAAAGATTCATGTCTCTATGATCTCTCAAGCCAGCACTTTTCACTGCATTCAAATGCCAGCTGGGGACCAAAAAGGAAGAGAAGAGGGAGAGTTGGAACAGCCAGTGACCTGTTCGCCCTCTCTCCCTCCCCGTGCAACAGGCTGTGAACAGAGAGAAGTCTTTATGTGCCAGGATTCACTTCTCTGCAGAGACACCGGGCATTTTCCCCGCTGCCTACAGAATGCTTACGATTATGGGGGACCCTTGCTGGGCAGCCCAAAGTGCCCGGAACCCCAGGCCATCCTGTGGCCCTTCTGGTGGTCAGGGAAAGCAGGACAGCTAGCTCCCAAATGGAGTATCCCCGAACTCCCGCCCCTCCATGGTTCTGAATCCAGACAACGAACTTGTCCTACATCTCGCCTGCTTTGCTCCTGTGCAAGGGACAGAGCAGAGGATTTTATTTCAATAAGGAAACCTCATGAGTTGCATTCCATCAAATAGAAAGTCGGGGACTGGACCATAAGAAACAAAAGTAAAAACCCAGAAATTGCGATTACATGCAACCCTTCAAAATGTCGCCATGCTCCGTGCCTGTTGATAACGGATTAAAACAGTCAACACTGATTTTCATCTTCTTGCAATAGTCTCCTAGTACATGGCCTATGCAAATGCACAGGAAATGCTGAATATGCTGCTGGCACCACTTTCTCTTTTGCTGGAAGGGAGATTCTAGATAAAAATCTTTATTTTTGCCATTCTTTGCTTTTTCATTCATATTTTTTTTTCCTTTGCCTCAGGGTTACAGAGTGGAAAACTCCATGTTCTCTTTTTCTTAACTCTACATTTTCAGGTTGGTGCATTTTATCACTGCATTCTGTGCATCATCTATCTATCTATCTATCTATCTATATATCTATCATCTATTATCTATCATCTATCTATTATCTATCGTCTATCTATTATCAATCATCAATATCCATCTAACTGTATATCTATCTATCATCTATGTTTGTATGTATCTACCTATCATCTATCTATCCATCTATGTATACCTATCTACTTATCATATATTTATAAAATTTATATATTCATATATATATAATTTCCTTCACGTTCATACAACCATAACATTAATTAAATTCCAACTAACAAAAATTAAATTCTACAAGCTTGGTGTAGTGGCAAGCTGTGCCACCTGACCCTGGGACCAAGGTACACCCTGTGAGAGCTGAGAATCACTTTTCTTTGTTTAGACCTTACCTTTCTCCTGAGGTAGGACTGGGCAGTCAACCTAGAAATATTAAAGAGTGGCTCGTCATCTTAAAATGCATCGGTTCTACGGCTACAGGAGACGTGAACTCTGAACGTAGAGCTGTTGTCCTTTAACATGTAGCCCGGGCATCCGCACACATCACTGTGAGGATAACTGTGTGGTGCTGGCTGCTCAGCACACCCCAAAGGCAAGCTTGCTCTCCCAAGGGCCATATTTTACAAAGAAGATGGCAGCCCTGAGAACATGGTCCTCATAAACCCCTCTTCCTGCACCAGACTTCTGTGGCCGTGAGTCCGTCTTGCCACCATGAAAGCCAACCACTGTCTTGTGTAGTGACGGGTGAAGACTGTTTGATCAGGGCTGTCTGACTGTCTTCAAGCAATAGAAATACAAGATAAAGATGACTTTCCAAGCACAGCAAACATAATTGAGTTGTACAGCATGGCTCCTCAAAACCATTGATTGTTCTAACCAATAGATTCCTTTGCATTTGAGTTTTTTGTAATGGCCTTTGTCTTTTATTGCCTCTAGCAACTACTGTTAGAATGGAGGAAACTTGCCTCCACTAAGAGGCTATTTGACTTATGAACTCAAGCCAGACCAACATAGCCAAGCTCTCCTATCACCCCCATATCTGTTCTTACCCCTCCTCTTCTCTCCTCATGCTTGTCCAGAAGGAGATCCTTCTCCAAATTATCAATTTTTTTTATAACCAATATGAGAGTCTTGTTGGAAAATGTTGACCTTCATGGCTACACTTTTCTGGAGAAATCATTTCTCAGACCCCCAGCACTTGCATATTTTGCTTCTCAGCTGGATTGCCTCATCCCAAAAAGCTAGCTTGCAACCACCACCATCCACCCCACACAGAGGATGTGGCCATGTCAGGCCTTCCAGCCTATGGTCAATTTATCTGAAAGAGTCACCTGCTAAAAGGCATTATTTCGATCAACAACTGTTTAAGAGAACCTGGCACAAAAGCCAAACATATTACTTAATTTTAAGTGGCTGTCTGCTTGTTGGCCCAACCGTCTCTCCTTCATACCAATGCTTCTTTCAAGAGATTCCTCTATTTCCCAGTTTAGAACCCGAGTAGGTGTCTCCAAATAAGTGAGCATCCAGTGTCCACCCATTCCACTACTATGAGAGTCTGTACATAGATACTGCCAACATCAATGCTCACCTACTGCATACCCCAACATGACCAAGAGCTGTACATCAAACAGCAATTCTGCTCCTTCTGGCTTTCCAGACCCAAGGTAAGAGTGTTCTTTGGTCTCAGATTGACCGTAGAGGCATTGATATTTGAAATAAGCAACATAAAAAAGCTCACTGTTTCTCATACATGTTTCCAAAGAAGATATACAGGTGCCCAAGAGGCACATGAAAAGATGTTCAGCATTGCTAATCATCAGGGAAATGCAAATCAAAACTACACTAAGATATCACCGTATACCCGTCAGAATTGCTATAATCACTTAGACAAAAAGTAACAAACGTTGGAGAGGATGTGGAGAAAAGTGAACCCTCATACACTGCTGGTGGGAATGCAAATTGGCACAGCTACTATGGAAAGCAGTATGGAGATTTTTCAAAAAATTAAAAATAGAAAAATAAAAATAGAAAAAAAAAAACCCTCTATAAAAATAGAAATATCATATGACCCAGCTATCCCACTACTGGGTCTTTATCCAAAGAACTTGACATCAATAATTCAAAGAGACTTATGCACCCCTATGTTCATTGCAGCATTGTTCACAACAGCCAAGATGTGGAAGCAACCCAAGTGCCCATCAAATGACAAACAGATAAAGAAGATGTGCTATACATATACAACAGAATACTACTCAGCCAAGAAAAAAGACAAAACCATCCCAATCACAGAAACATGGATGGACCTTGAGGGTATGATGTTAAGTGAAATAAGCCAGACAGTGAAAGACAGACACTGTATGATTCCACTCATATGTGGAAGATAAACAAACACATGGACAAAGAGAACAGAATAGTGATTACCAGAGAAAAAGGGGATGGGGAGTGGGCACATGGGGTGAAGGGGCACATTTACATGGTGACTGACAAGCAATAATGCACAACTGAAATTTCACAATGTTATAAACTACTATGACCTCAATAAACAAAAAGGCTCACTGTTTTAGAACAGAGGATTGAAGAAGAAACAAATAAAATCAACATAGAGATAGCAGCACTGGGGAAATGAACTGAGTTACAATCCTAATGAAGGGAAAAGCTAGAACTGTCCAGGAGGACCGTCTAGCTATCCGTAGAAAAGACTTTGGGTTGGAAAATAAAATTCAACCCCTGTATATATTCATTTTGCAGGGTTGTAGTAATAAATGACCACAAATCATGTGACTTATGACAACAGGAACTTACTCTCTCACAATCTGGAGCCCAGGAGTCTGAGATGAAGGGGTCACAGGGCCACACTCCCTCCGGAGGCTCCAGGGGAGGGTCCCTCCTGCCTCTTCCAGCTTCTGGGGCTCCAGGCGTCCCTGGGCTGGGGGCCGCATCCCTCCCGTCTCTGCCTCCGTCCTCACGTGGCTTCTCCTCTGTGTCTGTGTCTTCTCTTCTGTCTCTGATCAGGACACTGTCACTGGATTTGGGGTCACCTTCATCCAGGATGACCTCATCTCAGATCCTTTACTTCACTAGGATCATCTGCAAAGACCCTATTTCCAGATAAGTTTGCATTCACAGGTTCTGGTAGGATTTGGAGATACCTTTTAAGGTGCCACTCTTCAACCTAGGACACCTTAATAATGAATTCACGCTCCAAATTGCCTTAGAAGTCTTAAACAGTATCCACTTAAAAACCAAAATAGTCACTCGCCCTTTCCACATGTTTCTCCTTCTGTATCCTTCCCATTGCTCTCACTACCTCACAAGATGACACCATCATCTGCCTTTGTAAAACTTAATGAGTGACTGACTCCTCCCCCTACTGGATAATAGAACCGCACACTTCTTAAGAATAAATCCATGCTTTATTTACCAGAGAATCTATACAATGCCTCGCACATAATAACCACATCTTGTTTGGCAAATTAACATAAATTTATCCAAAGCATAAGCCTTTAATTTTTAGAAAGAAAAATAGATATCTATTTTTCTACATCATTTCAGAGTTGTTCTCTAGATATGCATGCCCTTTGCTGTGAAATCATACAGATTTTTTTTTAATTTCATACATCATTTACTGAAACGCCCTCTACAATGTAATGGAAGATAGAGCTTAAGGAAATAAAACTCTGTAGAAAATAAATTATCTTCTCTCTTTGTCTTGAGACCCAAAGATCTTACCTTATTAACAACCTCAGAGAGTCTCACAAAGCAAGTCTAGCAGTGAAGACAGCTGAACTCCAGCTTAACGGGAACCCTCGTTAATCAGACAGAAACACCAAGGTCCCGAGCACCACAGCTGGACGTAGTCATCCTGCAGAGAAGACGACCCTCACAGGACACAGGGAAAAAGTGTTTTGACAGGAAATGTATGGCAAAGGTGTGCCACGCGTGGTCACCAGATCTTGCTTCACTTGACCAAAGCAGAGCGCTGTGTGCATGGAGAACACACTCTGTTAGGGTAATGCTGAGCTGCTTTAACGAATGAATCCAAAATCTCAGTGATGCTAACAAATAGCTGTTGTTAAATCCAAAATGGCTGTTTCCGGTTGGCTGGTCACGCTCCTCAAGAGCTGGTTCAGGGACCCTGCATCCTTCCATTTTGTGGCTATGACATTTGTAACCCTTGCCTCCAAGTTCACCAGGATGTGGATATTTAATCAGAGGAGAGAGGATGGAGAAAGTGCATTAGCCTGCTAGGGCTGCCATAACCAAGAACCACAGATATTTATGTCTTACCGTCCCGGAGGCTTGACGTCTGAGATCCAGGTGAGGACAGGGCTGGTTTTTCCTGAGGCCGCTCTCCGTGGCGTGTGGACACTGTCTTCTCCCTGTGTCCTCACGTGGTCGTCCCTCTGTGCGTGTCTGTGTCCTCATCTCCACTTCTCATAAGGACCCCAGTGCTGTTGGATCAGGCCCTGATGACCTCATTTTACTTTAATCACCTCTTCAAAAACACCATCTCCAAATACAGTCAAATTCTGAGGTCCTGGGGTTAGGACTCCAACAATATGGATTTTGGGGGAACACAACTCAGTCAAAAACAGAAGTCACGCTCTTATCTTGCCACCTGGCCCAGAAGAGAAATGTGAGAATTCGATGTGCACTTCGTTGGCAAGCCTTCATTCCCATGGTCCCATCTCGATGCCCAGGTTAGAGGTGAGAGTCTGGCTCACATAGATGCTAGTGCCTTAGCCATTTCTCCACAGTGACTCAACCCAACAGATGAGGAGCATGGATAGACATGGAAGAGTCACGGTGGACAGGTAACCATTTCAGCCCCAACTGCACTTCAGAAGACGCCTTTCTGGCTCCACACCAACACCATTCCGTTCTCTACGTCGGGTCTCCATCACTAGAGAGAGACGCCGTAATTGATTCTCTTTCTCAGTTGATCACCTCTTCTTGTAGAAACCATTTCTAAGTAAATATTTCTATATTACACTCATGCCTTTAGATCACCCCCCTAACCAGGATACTGCTCAGATTTGTTATTTATTTTACTGACTTTAATTAGCTGGATGGAGGAGGAAAACAATCCCTCAGTTAAGGGAATGATGGTGAAACAGATGAGATCAGATGCCAGATCATCTCTGCCTGGGAGCATAAAGGGACGAGTTGGGGCCCCAAAAGGGAGCACTGGAAAGGAACATTGACTGAACGAGAATCCCTGCAGGATGGAGCTGAAGAGGGGATTCTCCACTCAGCAAAGACTTAGGTAACATATGCAGCACTCAAGACTGGCGTCATGCACTGGAAATAGGAAGAGCATGGTCTTTCACCATCTCACAGTGTAGGTAGAACAGCAGATCCATAAACAGAGAACTGTAGCAAAATGGGGTGAGTATTATGACAAAGGCGTGTGCCAAAGAGACAAGGGGAGACAATACTCCTATACTCTACTATGTTCTGCAGGCAGAGAGCCTAGGAGCTATTTATCGTAAAACGATCCAGGTGTCTTAACAAACAGAGACAAATGGTATTCTCTTTCTCCAGGTAACTCTGATAGGAGAACAACGAATTAAAACAAGGAAGCCCAGACAGTTCAGAGTCCAGGGCCCAGATGACATTCTTGGATCCCATTGTTCCCAGAAACTACGGTGCAATTTGAGCTCTTCTAATTCTTATCTGGGAGGGTGGAGAGGAACATGGTCAGTCACCCGGGAGCCTGGAAGAACAGGATTTACCCGGCCCGAGTGTGCAGATCAACAACCCAGATCTCCAGCCTCCAACAAACCAGCCTCCTCAACTGTGAAATTCAACTCAGTTAGAGTCTGGAGAGAGGGAAGGGAGACCCAAAGGGTTATATGTGCCTTCCGAATGTCTTTTTTAATTTATTTCACCAACTGTGATCAGACAAAGAGGGCTTCTCTCCCCAGGGGTTGTGTCTTCCCAACCCAGGAGTAAAGGGAAGTATTTAGGTTCTTTCCATGACTTGATTAGCTGTGGATGTGGCTCCTCTTTATCAATATAGAGAAAGTAATCACCCCCACTCTATGATGCCATATAACAGCTTCCTTTAAAAGGAGGGAAATGGATAAACAAACTGCGGTCCATCTATACAATGGAATACTATTCGGCCTTAAAAAGGAAGGAAATTCTGACACATGCTACAATGTGGACGGACCTCGAACACGTTATGCTAAATGAAATAATTGATTCAAAAGGACAAATACTGTATGATCCCACGTATATGAGGTCCCTAGAATGATCAAATTCATAGAGACAGAAGGAAAAATGATGGTTACTAGGGGCTGGAGGAGGCGAGAATGGGAAGTTGCTGTGTAATGGGGACAGAGTTTTGGTGTTGCAAGACGACGAAAGTTCTGGAGGTGGATGGTGGTGATGTTTGCACAATAACATGAAGGTACTTAGCACTACTAAACGGCACACTGAAAAACGGTCAGGATGGTAAATTTTGTGTTATGTCTATTTTACCACAATTAAAAATTTTAGGAAGGGACGCTACTTTGAAATGACTGAGGCAAAATGCAAGGCATTCTCTCTGGACAAGCATTTCACATGCCTCTGGCTCCACATATTCACGGATGCCCAACGGCTAGTCTACCTGCCAAATCTTGTTGTGATAGTCTGGCCTCGAGGGAGTTCCTTATTCAGATTAGAAGGTCATTTCTGAATGCCGGTTGCAGTTATATGATTTGTTCTTTGATAAAATAGCCTAAATGTTCTTCTCTGCTCGCTTCCTGCCTCCCCTTAGGAGCAAGGCTGCATTATCCTCTGACACAGTGGGCGGTGCAGAACCACCCTTTCAGACAAGAGGCTCCTAAGATTATTGAAAGGAATCCTTCAGTCGTGAATCAAAGCCCGGACATACAATTCCATACAAAACTTCTCCAACCAGGGCGAGAGTGGTCACAAAAGCAGGCTGTGCCATTCACGAAACTATAGCCACTCTCCAACGCAACGATCCAAGAATAATTTTCCCCAAGAAAGAATCATCGGCTTTATAGTTACACTGAACCACATTTTCCACGCTGCGATGAATATTTTTGACATGATTCACGTGAAAATAACCACCTGCAAATCCAACATTCCAAATGCAGTTCCCTTAGCGACTGGGCATTTTCTTACTGATACAAACCCACCCCTGAACCCCTGACTACTTGTCTTTGAAGAGTATTTGCATGCAAAATGCTGCCACCATAGCAAACACTTAGAAATTTATAGCCCGGAATCTTTTTCATTTGGTCCACATGGATACAACTTTAATAACCTAATTCCATTTAGATCATTGAGTACTTAGAAACAAGAAATTATGGGACTTGGCTTCTTCATCCTGCCAATAACAGCTGTAAACAGTGCTGAACAAAAGATCAACGTATACGTTTTTAAAAAGTGCATCAGCGAATTGGCAAATTAGTAAAGAATACTCAGATTCTGAAGCTGTAAGTGAGGGTGAGAAGTCAGAAGGATGGGCTGGGCACTGCAGAGCCTACGGAATTGAGGTTCAGTTTCCACCGATCCCAGGAGTCTGATACAACATTCCCCCATCCCACACAGAAACAGATCTCCCAGAAAAAAGATCTCCCAGTTGACCCACACAATTGCAGGAAATAATAAGTGCTCATTGTTTCAAGCCACTAACTGGAGGGTGAATTGCTCTGCAGGAAAAGCTAATTGCTACCATTTTGCATCCAAGATAACAGAACATTCATAGTTTATGCCCTGGGTCTTCATGCTACTCAGACTTACAGTCGGTTCTTCTTATCTGCAGATTCCATATTTGCAAATTTGCCTACTGGCCAAGATGTATTTGTAACCCCCAAATCAATACTTAGCACGTTCGTGCTCAATCACAGAAAATTTGAGTTCCCAGCTGAGGATGAAGGAACCGACGCCCTGCTTTCTTGTTTCAGCTCTCCTCCTGTCAGCAGTCTTTTCCTTGGTATAGTTACTGCCACGCTTTTGCATTTTTGTGCTTTTGGGCGGTGATTTTTCTGTTTAAAATGGTCCCCAGGTGTAGTGCTGAAGGGCTGCCTAGTGTTTCTAAGTGCAAGAAGGCTGCCATGTACCTTATAGAGAAATTACGTGTTAGATGAGCTTCCTTCAGGCAAGAGTTACAGCACCCATTGGCTGCGAGCTCAATGTTAATGAACCAACAATATATAATATAACTAACAATATATATTATTATTAACAATATATAATATTTAATATAATATATATTCAATGTCCTTAAACATAAACACACATAAAACCAGGTTATGTGTTGATGGGTTGATGAACATGTGGTGACCAGAAGCTCTCAGGAAACTTACCCTGTCCATCCCCTAGGAACACGGTTTATTACGCACCAATTTAGTGTTGGCAGCAACTGAACAGAACTTAATGGTGGATAATGAGAATCAACTGTACCTGGTTCGTCCCAGTCAGATGGTTGGATTGCATCTCTTGGCCCCTTGGAGTCAGCATGGGCATGAGACTAGTTCATTCAAAGAGGTAGGAGCAAAGAGACGTGTCAATTCCGGGGCAGCTTTAAGGGATAATTGTCATTGGCCACATCCCTTCTTCCCATCTGCCACAGAAAACAGCTGTTCCCTGCAAGGTGACAGTTCCTCATTTGATCTGCATGATAAGAACAGAAAAACATCTCTCTGCTGAACATGGCACCTCAAGTCAGCTGTCACACAGGTGCGACACCCCAAACCTGCATTACCCGTGCAGTCTGAGAAACGCAAGCCAGCAATTCAGGTTAAAGCAGTTTTAGACTGATAATGTCTCCAGTTTTAAAGAAATATGAAACATGCATGCTTAATAAACCTAATTAACTTATCAAATCTAAAGTTAATTATATTTACCTTCTGAAAATAGAGGAATCTTGAATTCAGAAAATGAAAACTCCATTCTTGATTTTCACACTTCTCTCATGCTTCTTTTGTTATATATTTGGGTTGATTTAGTTTTTGAAGCCCCAACAGACATGATTCTCATGGTCGTATATAACCTGGTAGAAACAAAATCACATAACTTATCAAGAGGAACCCATAACATTCCGAAACCCCCAAATCTTTCCAATGGACAAACTGCCCAAAATAGGAACAGGTGCCCCAAAAGAAGGAAGCAAAATTGTATCCACAAAGAATGCGTCCATTGGAATTTTGAGATGTAGAATGTGTATGTTTTATATGTTTAAGAAATAGAAGAATTGATACACGTAAGAACAAGATTGTATATGAAATTAGAGAAAAGAACCAGCCCAAACGTGTAGAAATGGAAAATACAATCCTTTTAGTTTAAAACTCACTGGACTGACTTAATAGTTGATTGGACAAATTAGAAGGTTGAACAAGAGAAAAAATATATCAACAATCTAATTAAATTACCCAAAATATAGGACAAGGAGAGAGAAAAGCAGAAAGTATGGAAGAAAGAGTTCTGAAATATGGAGGGTAGAATCAGGTCTCATATACATCTCACCAGGTTCCCTAAAGAGAGGAGAAGGAGAGGATGGATCTCTCCTGCTGGAGAGAGAATGGTGAGAACTTCCTAGAACCACCACAGGTGGAGTCCACAGATTCAGGACGCTCAACGAATCCTGTGCCTAGTCTATAAAAAGGAACTCATAACTCATCCCGTCAAAGTAAAACCACAGGACTCCAAAAGCAAAGAACAAATATGCAAGAAGCCAGAGAGAAAACAGAGACTTCCTTCAACTTGATGCTGCTTCAACTTTCAGTTAGAACAGAAACAGCCAGGACCTGGACGGCTGTGGAACGATGTGTTTAATAGCTAAGATAAAGTTTTGGTCAAGTTGGAATTGTACAGCCAGAGAAAATGTTCTTCAAGGGAGTGAAATTACAGTATTTTGGGAGGAGAATGTCAATGGCTGTTTCCTCGTGGAGCTGGTGGTAATTTTGCATGGCAGCACGGCTACCCAAAAGAATTATTGGAGGGGCTGCTGATTGCTTTGGTCTTGGAATTTTTTAAAAATGACTATTCCACTGCTATTCTTTCTGGCAATTGCTATTAGAGGGGATGACAACTGACTTCTCTAACGGGCTGTTTGATTTATGAATTTGCATCAGACTGGCTAAACCACGCTCTTCCACAATCTTGCCATAGGTGCTTCCTCCTCCCACTCCCTCACTTGAGTGAACCCTGGTCCTGAAGTGTGCCCCCCACCAAATTAACAGTTTTATTGAGTAACGGACATGCTGAATGATGCATTTTACATTGAAGGAAAGGGGCCAGCCTGGTGGTGTAGTGGTTGACTTTGCATGCTCTGCTTCAGTGGCCCAGGGTTCACGGGTTCCAATCCCGGGTGCAGATCTACACACGGCTCATCAAGCCATGCTGTGGCGGCATCCCACATACAAAATAGAGGAAGATTGGCACAGATGTTAGCTCAGGGACAATCTCCCTCACCAAATATATATATATATATATATATATATATATATATATATACACGTATTTTACTCACTTAAAAGTAACAATAACAAATCCAATACAACATTGTTCACAAACAATGCAAAAAAATAAAAAATAAATAAATTGAAGGAAAGTGACCCTCGATAATGAGTAAAGAAAGCACTAAATATCCAGAGACTATAACTTGGATAAATAAATGACCTTCAGAATCATGTCTGCTGGGGCCTCAAAAACAAAATCAAACCAGAATACAGAACAAAAATATTGTGAAAATCAGGAATGGATGTTTGCATTTACTGAATTCCAAGATCCCTCTATTTTCTATTTTCAGAAGGTAAATATGATTACCTTTGGATCTCATATTAAGTTAATTAAGTATATAAAGGATTCAGGGCTACATTTCTTTAAAAATTTAAAATATAGTGTCTGACTATCACAATATTAGATATAAACAAAAACACACTTAGAATAAATAATTAACTAAAAGCAGGCCAAAACAGAGAGAGAGACAGAGAGAGATGGAAAAGGCAAGACAAATACAAATAAAATAATTAACTATAGAAATAAATCCAGATAATGGTAGGATTGAGTATCCACTCTCAGGCACTGTTGTTGGAAATGTAACATGTTCCAAACTTTGGCAAGCTAGTTGACAAAAATCTATCAAAATTGCATAGCCTTCTTCCTGGCATTTTCACTTCTGAATATTTGCTTCCGCGCACTCACTGAGGAAAAACAGTGGTGCCAGGATGTTCGCTGCAACATCGCCTATAATGGGAGAAAGATAAAAACTCAAGAAGCAGCCTTGAATATCCAGCAGCAAAGATAAGATATTTAAAAACTACACACACACACTCTTTCCTGACCAAGAGTAAACTCTAAATAAATATTTGCTAGCCAGTTAGATAAATTATTCCCAGATTTCCAGCTCTGCCATGGGGCATGCCATGGTCTGGACAGACCCACATGGAGGAATCCCATTCTACAGCATTCCTGGTTCCCAATGTACCTATAAGATCTCCCAGAGATGCACCAGGGGAACTTTACATCCACATTCCATTCTACACCATGACAAGGTTTTTAAAATTTTCTTACAACAGAGATCAGTATATGAAACAATACTAGTCACCCACAATCTCAATCGGCTGAGTGACATCTCGATTAAGATGATGCTTAGGCATCTTTGCTGATCCCAGATAACATTTAAAACTGAATGTCCCCCTTGAAGACAGTCTCTCCTGCCACGGCTCCCAGCTCGGTGAGCTCCAGCTTCCTCCATTGCTCAAGCGGAATCTCTGTGGTCACACTCTAACTCCATCCCTTCAGTTCCTACCTTTCATTCAACATCAGTTCCTGTTTGTTCTCCCCCCTAAATCGCTCTCGTGCTGAGCTGCTTCTCTCCACCACCTCCCAGGCAGCCCAGGGTATGCCCCCGCTTCCTTGCTTGCCCTGTTCATCCCTTCTCCACTCAGCGTGGTCTTAAAATGCCAGCTCTCCTTCTCTCCCTCCAACGACTCGCATGATCCATACATCCGTGCAGAATCTGACCCGTGCCTCCAGCTCTCATCACACATTTACTACTTCACCTCTCTCAACAGCAGCCACTTTGGTCTTCCTGCAACTCCTCAATGTCCCAGCTCCTTCTCTCTCAGTCTTTTTGATATTTAGTCTCCAGGTCTTGAACTCTCCTCCCGAAGGCGCATCCTACTCATCCTCAGAACTCTCCTTCCATATCATTTCCTCGGGACAGGTGGCATGACTGTCTCCATTAGCTTGACTTTACTCTGTCACGGGCTGTCCTACACCTGAAGTTTTCCTTGCCATCATTTATCACAATTGTCGTTAATTATTAGTCAGTTTTCTGTTCAAAGTCTGTCTCCCTGGTAGCCAATAAGCAGTAAGAGTAAAGGGATCAAGTGCTTTCTCTTCACGTTTACATCCCAGGGCTTTGCACAGGATTGAGCACATAGTATATGTTAAATAAATATCTGGTGACTCCTTGATAGAATCAACGAATCAAGAACCAATGAATGGATTGAGGGAGACTGACCAGCCATTTTCTCCATACCAATGACATAGCGACACTGCACAGCATTTAGCAACCTCCTTTGCCTGGGTCTCTGTCCATCTCCCTCTGAAAGTTGGGGTGAGCTCACACCCTTTGCTCACCAAGATCAACTCCACATGCAGCCACACAGGCAGCTTTGCTGGCCATCACTACAGTTCACTCATAATTAAGCTGCAGTTTGAGAACAAGCTTCAGCCAGTCCTTCTTGGGAACAGTCTGTGCTCCCGTTGATAATGACCTCTCCTCTTCAGTCCACTGGGAGAGAGCTCCCCGGCATCACGATGCTCCAGTTCTGTGATTTCCCATCCCATAGGAGAGGTAACGAGTGATGCCAGGGAGCAGAGGGTTCCAAGCTTTTATTACAGGAGCACTCATCTTAGCTCTATTGGCCAGTAGAACATTTATGTTACTACAGTCTTCAGAAAGCTCTGGGCTACAGATGGGAGAAGCTTAGAGGAATCCACAGGGAAACCTTATTTAGAAATATATTCCCAAGTCCCCATCTATCTCCAAACTTTCAAGGCTCAACATTAAGAAACCTTCTTCCACCAAGCCACTCGCAACCACTCTTCTCAATCATTAGCAGACCCACTATCACGTGTGACTTCACTACATAAAGACACCTGACTTTCTTCATAAGAATGTCTGAAAAGCAATTAAAACTTTCAAAGGAGACGTTACCTGCAGACAAAAGTCTGCACTGCTCAGAGCTATGCCAAATCCATTGAGAAAGCTTTTGCTGACCATTCAGTTGCTTCTTGTTGTTTTAATAATGGGGTCTCTTGAAATGCTTGCCATGAGTTTACAGGCAGATGTGAAAAAAAATGCTGACACCTGACTTGCTCCAACTGCCGAACGTGTGACGTATCTACCGTAAAAACATACCAAAGAATATTGAACTGGGACTTACCAGAAAATACAGTGGAATTAAAATTTCAAATATTTTTTCAATATACAAAGGAATAGGCAAATTTGTCTAAATGAAATCTGAGGCAAATTTGTATAAATGAAATTCATTTGTATAAATGAAATACCTAAACCATTTTAAAAATGCATTACATTTAAAAGTATCTTGCTTTCCACAAATTAAAAGAAAACTCGCCTCTTCTGCAGATTTCCATCCTGGTCTCACCCACTGGTCCAGACCCTGTCATCACCCCCATTACTATAGAGGCTGGGCGATGGATCCATTCCCACTCTTGGGTGCTAACCCCTAATGGGAAGTCCTAACCCCCAATGGGATGGTATGAGGAAGTGGGGTCTTTGGGAGGTGATAAGGGTTATAGGAGGTCATGACGGTGGAGCCCCCACGATGGGATTAGTACCCTTATAAGAAGAGGAAGAGACCAGAGCTCTCTCGGTCTCTCCACCACGTGAGGTCACAGCAAGAAGACAGTCATCTATGAAGCAAGATGACAGCTCTCCCCAGACAGAGAACCTGCTGGCACCTTGATCCTGGACATCCAGCCTCCAGAACTGTGAGAAATGTCTGTTGTTTAAGCCCC